GGGGGGTTTCTTCCAACCCTAGCTCCCTCCTCAGTGCTGTATTCCAGCCTGCAAACTGTGATGAATGAAGCTGCCACCAATCATGCTTTTGTGACAGTTTTCTTTGTTTTCATGTCCTATGTAAGTGGCTATGAATTGATTATGTTCTCATGCTGTGGGCCCCCTCATCTGGATGGTTTCTCATTGTCTTGGATTAGAGCTTAGATTCTGAGCACCTGTTTTTCAGAAGGCGATGGATAACCATGGAAACCTAAAATTAAATTTCAGGCTCCCTATGTGGATTAATCCTCCAGTGAATCCCTTCTGACTATTAACTAGGGATAACAGTGTTGCCCTCAGAATACATTGGAAAGTGGACTACATCCACCAGTCTCCAGCCAGCCCTGGGAGGGGCCGTCTCTTGCCTTCTCCAAGTGTGTTCCTGATGAATATCAGGGGGGCAAAGAGGGTCACATAATTATGAGTCATGACTATCAGCCGTGTTCTGACCATCAGAAGTCCCTGAAGCCATCTTGTGAGCTCTTCTGTCTGACATGGTTTCGTTCCCATTTCGGTAGTCCCACTTGTAGCTGAGATGCATTGCCCTGCCACCAACCATACATTGGAGACCCTTTCCTTATGTTCCCTGTCTCACAGAAGCAGCTGTGGGGCTCTGACGCCTCAGATGCATGATGGCCTCTTGCTGATGGTCTTCTCGTCCAGAAGATGTGGCTTTGTCTTGTTTTTTCTCCTGACTAGGATTTAATAAATACTCTCCTTATATTAGATTTGAGATTTTGGAACTCTTTTGTACAGAAAGCATTGTTTAAGATGTAACAAATTGGTCTCCATAAATGACATTTCAATTTGGGTTTTCCTGGGCTGCAATCCACATGGTCAGCATTTCTAAACTACCAGAAGCTCCCAGAGCTTTCTGCTCCTGTAAACGGTGACCTTCTTAGAAACCACAGGGAGTCACTGGGAGTCAGCGTCGACTGGAAGGCTGTGAGTTTGGTTTGGGGTTTGCTTCCCTAAATTCGTTGGTAGTGTGTATGCACCTCTACACTAATATGCTCAGTAATAGAATTCTCCCTCCAAAAGCCAAACTCACTGCTATCGAGTGGATTTTGACAGAGAAAGAACTGACCCTGAAGGTTTCTGAGGTTGTGAATCTTTACAAGAGTAGAAAGACTCAACTTGGTCCCTCAGATTGGCTGGTGGATTCGAACTGCTGATCTTACTGATAACGTCCCAACATATAACTCACTATGTCACCAGAGCGCCTTCTCGGGAATATTTGGCAGAGAGGTTAATTCAATATTACACCTTTTATTTTGAATAATGAATCTATTCCTTACACTACTTAGAAAATATAAAATCATGAATCTGAAGCTAAGCTCACCTATGAAAATTGTTTTTTAAAGCCGTATATAGGCTACAGTGTTTGGATTGATTAATACAAATGAATGAAGAAGTTTCATCCTAAATTTCAACCCAAGATAAAAATGCTAAGCCACATTCTGAAAGTAGGCTTTACCAATTCAATTAATTAAACAATCTATGCTAGCAATAGTGCTGAGAGCATAGCACACAGAGATCAATAAATATTTTCCAGAAAAAATATTAAAATGTAAAAATGTATTACTTATGGGTGAATAATGAACTCCACTACTTGAGCAAGGGCACACACTTAAATTTGGGGTTCTCATTATCTAGAATGTTTCTTGTCCCTCTGACTTATCTGGCTATCTGTTACTAATCTGGTAAAAGACTTTAATAATTTTCAGGTAGCCTGGATTTTCCCGTGAATCTAAGAAAAATAGGACTTTTTGCCTCTTAAGCCACTCAATCTCTATATGCTGCTTGCATACATGTTAGAGATAAAGAGCTTAGCATCCCCATCTACATTTTAGGGTTCATCTTTGTTGATGTGTTCGTAACAGCGACTCCATCTTTATCCTTCAGAAATCACTGGGCTGGCTATGTATGGAAGCCATTTTTGTGACAGCATGCATGTCAAATTAGAACTGTGCACCACCAGGTTGTCAATGGCTTTGTGTTCAGAAGTGATCCAGGGGTCCAGGCTTGTCTGTCAAGGAGATGTCTCTGGATACCTTTTAGTGAGCAGCCACGAGGGTTCGCCATGTGCACTACCAGGGACTTCAGGTAGTTGATAGACAGTAGTTATCGTTTAAAAATGTACAGTAGGTTAAACTATCACAGGATCTATGTAATCAGAGGAAATAGAGATTGTTCACGGTAAAGATAAAATTGTTCTTTAACCACTGGAAAGGAAACTTTGTAAAGAAATAGCTAGTGTAGACACAGACAAACACTGCATGGGAGAGAACACTGCAAAGTTAGATTGACATTTTATTTCACCAAACCTTGCCATGTAAAAAGACATCTATTTGCTGGCAACTAGAGAGATCACTGAAGGCTTTCAAGAGACTCGTGGTAGCATGACGGTTGTGGCAGACATTGCTAATGGCCTCTACACCATCCACTTTCTTTTTAGTCTTTATGAAGTAAGAAAAGAATCAAAATGATTAAGACAAAATGTACATACCTAGCTTTTCAAAAACTAAAAATCCCAATCTAGATTTGCACTAGGAATGACCAAGTAGCCCAGTACAGGCAAGTAAAATATAAAGAGTACTCTATCAGGGCAGAAGATTCTGGAAAATCTTCTGTATTAAAAGAACAGGAAAACATAAACACTTTATGCCTTAGACTTCTTGCTACATGAGAAAAATTAACTTGCATGCCTTTACTTCTCCTCTATTTAGATTTCTTTAATTTTTAAAATCATTTTATTGGGGGCTCGTACAATTCTTATCACAATATTTTGATTTTTTGATAATCGCAGCTGAATATAATTCCAAACTCCAACAGAGAGTCTCAGGCTCTTAGGTTAGACAAAAATGTGGTTAAAATTACATCTACACATTTCTTACCTATGAAATATTGTACAACTCTAAAATGTCTAAGCCTTTGTTCCTCATTAGGAGAACAATGATCATTAACTCAGCCAGAGTTATTGGTATGATTAAATAGAACATTTATGTGTATGTAAACAGTTTAGCTGCAGCTATAAGTGCTCAAGGAACATTAGTGATTGTTTTGATAATGATAATTATAAGAAAGAGGATGAGGATGATAATTATTCTATTTGGGTAGCCTGACACACATATGGATATAGATTTGAAGAAAGTAGGGCAAATATTTAAAGGCAGGATGATATGCCAGGATGAAGAAAAAGGTAATAGAAATCTTAATAAATCTTACAGCTATAGCAAAGAGAACGAATTGCATGATTCTATGACATTTGAAACAGAATCTTTATTACATTGATGTGTCTTTGAGATCAGGATGTGGAACAAAGAGCAAGGAGGGTGCAAATGGAATTGCAGTTGACGACAATTTCTTGTGCCATTACTTTCAAGCAGGGTCAGATCCAATGAAAACTGTCAAGGTTTTCTGAAATTTATATAATAGTTTCAAATCTCAGGCCTAAATAGCCGGCTTTCATGATCATCCTAACGTGCAGAGTGTGATTTCCCTGGATTGCTTACCTGTAGGCCCTCTGCTGCCTGAAATTGAGACCTGTTGTCCAATCTCCACATTGCCCCACTTCATAGTCCTGCTTCTAGTAGCTCCTGTCTGGTCACTAGTTTACATCCATAATGGAAAAACCCTTCTTAACAGCGAAAGGCAGAGCTGTTTCACGATCAGATTGACACAGCTTTCTCCTTCCCCTCTACACTCTGACGGTCTTATTCTGAAGCACCCAAACTTGAAAACATGTTTTCTTGTAGAGTATCATTATGAAATAATGTCTACTTTGAATTTTCTTCCAGGGATGCTGTCTTTGCTTTGTTGGTGTTTGTAGACCTCAGTTTGCAAGCAAAGTTAAGGCAATAGGGGCCATCTTACCTGAAAAGCTGCCCAGTCTCGGCGCGGTCATATCGGCACCATCATAAATCTCGAGGGAGTCCCAATTCTGCTCGGTGGCAAAGCTGATCACTTGAATCTACCAAACAAGAATCCTAAGTTAATATTTATTTTATGGCCTAAAGAACTGTGCCCAATTGTGTGGCACACACACACACACACACACACACACACACACACCACAAATACAAGAAAGACAAACCCTTGACAAACCCAAAGAAAATAAACTATGAAAAGGGTACCCAAAGTATCCATACATAGGACCTAGATGTTATTTTTATTTTTAAAGTTTACTTTTTATTCTAAATAGAGATAAAAGATTTGAAATGCTTCGCAGAAACAGTCGGTAAAAAGAAATAGATTATAGTTAATCCATTTAATATCCAATACAAAAAAGGGCGGGCGGAGGGGAGGAGAAAGAAATGAGGAATTCTGATGGAACTCTACTTATTGCTTGCCTCCTGGAGTCTGGGGCTTACCTGAATCCCGGAGCCCTCTGTCACTATGATTTTCCAGACGCAGTTTAAGTTGTTACCGTAGGGCTCCGGGTAACCAGGAGATAAGACGGTGCCTCTCCGCTGAGTGAAATTGCCACTGCAGGGAACTGAAAGCCAAAAATCGCATTTAATAAAGATGCCATAAAGGAGGAGGGAAACACTAATCTCCTGTTTAATTTGATGTTGTTTATGATCTGACTTTTAGAGAATTTCACACATACTACGTTACTTGAATTGACTATTTTTTTTCCACAGTAAAATTTAATAAGTTCACTTTTCCCCAAAATCAGCAATACTATTGAATATTATATAGTTTTACACTTCTAAATTATAAATCCTAGGTACTGGGTAACAGGATATAGAAGATAGATAGATAGATGATAGATAGATAGATAAATAGATAGATAGATGATAGATAGATGATAGATAGATAGATAGATAGATAGATAGATAGATAGATAGATAGATAGATGATAGACAGATAGATGCATAGGTAGCTATCTAGAAATACAGAGACGGAGACAGGGGAGAGAGAGAGATTACTTTCCAAAAGCAGACACGATCCTCTACATAATATGAATGGGGCCTATGAGCAAGTCTGGAGAAGAGAAGAGATGCTTAAAATGTACAAAATGATTTCAAGTGCTAATCATAATTGCATGAGAGATTCTTATACAAAATGAAGCAAATAAACTGTAATTAACAAAGTCATTGCTATTCCATCTGCATTAACCTATTAACTTTCAAACATTCAATAGCATACATTTATTAAGATGACATTACACAAGTAATATAGTAATATATCAAATCAATATTATAATTATTTACCCCAAAATGGAATTATGCTGTGTATGCATGACTTTAAAGTTGATAGCAAGCAATAAATATTAGAAATAGGTTTTATATTTACTAATATACATGTTTGATTAGAACACGATATATGTTAGGATCTGGCTGCTATTCAATTATTTTTTCACATAATAAATTTTTCTTTAAATAGGTCATGAACAGGATCAATTCCTATAGACAAGATCGATACATGGAAAAGCCATTCTCTAAAACAGCTCTCTGAAACTACTACTAAATTCTGATTCACACCCTCATGCAAGTTATCCCACCTTAACAATGCATGCTTACCTACGCAGCTTGGGATGGTGTCATTCCACTGCGCTAGAGCATTGGGCACAGACTGACAGCGGATAGCTGTGGAGCCTTGAAGTAGGTAGCCTGGGTTACATTCAAAACGAACAATGGAACCTGCAGAAAATTCAGAACCGATCCTCCTTCCATATCTGGGCTCTGGGACAGAGCTACACTGGGTATCGCTGGTACGAGGAACAGCTAAAAGTAAAACAGGCAGAATGAAACTACATTCAACTTCATCAAAAATCAAAATGATTTCATTTAAAATAAATGTAATGAATCAAGAGAGAATTCATATTTATGGTGATATAGAAATTGATAATATCCTAAAATCCTTTTAAGGGATACAATTTCAATACACTGGTACAACTATATTTCATCCTCAAATAAACTCTGAAGTCCATTTGAATATTGTAATCTTAAACTGAGAAAACCAGGGCAGAATCAGATTCAAGGCCTTGTGAGGACAGACTGGGAGTCCATCGGTTAAGTAGCAGTAATTGAGTCGCCGTAGCATCTTGCCAGTGTAAATAAGTGGGTGAAGCACTTGTCCTTACCCTCAAGGTCCTTAGAATGTAGGTAGAGAAGCTGATAAATAAATGCCTAGTTAAAATATGACCATTGGAGTCTATAATAAATGTACTATGGAAAGAGAAAGAATGACTGCTTAGTACCCCTAAAACTTGGGAAGTAAAACCAGGGAAGTTTAGTTTGAATCCCAGAAGAGCTAGAAATAAATCCCAATCTTTTTTTTCTGAGGGAAGAGGAAGGGATTTGGGGGATGAGATATGTGAGGCGGACTGTCCTTGCCCAGATAACCATGTCCACACTTGGTGAGAGAATGTGAGGTTTAAAAAGCATGTGTGTCACAGTACAACTGTATGCATCAAACATCTGTAAAAAGGTAGCAAGCAGTAAAGCTTAATAAAATATTCTGGTGATAAGAGCATTCTGCCTAAAGATGTGAGAAAGAAAGGGAAGGAGGGGGAGTCTCTGACCTCCATCTACTGATAACTGCTTGGCATCAAGAGCTAGGCTGTGATGTCCTCCTGTTGAGCATATTCAATCTCACGCACACAAAAAATCAATGTTTTGTCAAAAAATTTATGTATTCTGATTCTTAACTACTATACCCATGGTCCAGAGGCATAGTGGTGCAGTGAGTCAAGCACTTGGCTGTTAATAAAACAATTGGCAGTTCAACCCCATAGCTGCTCTGAAGGAGACAGATATGGCAATCTGTTTCCACAAAGCTCTACAGTCTAGGAAGCCTGTGGCCTCAAACACCAAGGAAGGTTTGACTGCCCTGTGGGGCTGCTGTGAGTCAGAACTGACGTCATGGCACTCAGTGAGAACCCCCACAGAGCAGGCTCTTCGAAGTTGTTCTGTGTCGGAATTTACTCCCAGCTGTGGGTAGACCTGTGGTTACCCTCTCAGGTGGGACTGAGACGTCCTACTTAAGTTCATGAGACGGTATTAGTGTAGGATGTGTCTTTAATCGTTCTCTTTTGAACTATGAAATCGATGAGGTTATGTCATCGGGGGTAACCCTCTTGATGGGGTGTGATATGTTTTCCTGTTTCTAGGTAAATGAAAGCCAGGACTGATGAATAGAACTGACAGGGACAGCAAGTAGAACAAGGATTTCAGGGGTGGCGTTGTCCAGTAGTTGGGAAGGTGGGGGCGGGGATGGGTGTGTGTGTGTAAAAGAGACACAATGTCAAGGAGTCCAGGAATAAAAAGAATGTTTGGAAACTGATTGTGGTTGCTATTGTACAATTCTGCTTGATATAATTGAACTATGGAATGAAGTATCTGTATTAGCACCCAATTAATAATAAATTAAGTAAAAAACCAGAAACAAAACATAGATCCAGGAATGGGCTTTGAGATACACTAAATCCTAGCTCCAACTTAAGAACAATTAGTTCTTACATTGTGGCTCTTCTTGATAATCGCCCTCAGGAAGTGACGACAAGATACAGGTACTATAGCAAAATGTGGTGAAGAAATTAGATGGTGCCTGGCTATCAGATATATAGCATCTGGAGTCTTAAAGTCTTGTCCCCAAACAAGCAGCCATCTGGGTCAAATATCAACTAAATCCGCATGGAAGTGCACCATTATCAGTCACAGAAGGATTGTAAATAATATAATCTGAAGTCAAAGGAGGGATTAGTATTAAAGTCTAAATTTTGAGAATCTGATTTTCAGAAGGCTATGAATGGCAGTGGGGTCCAAGATTCATTTGTGGGGACAACATAGGAAACCAGCTTCCAGTGAATGCCCTCTATCCACAATTGAGGGATGGGAGGACAGTGGCTACTAAACAGAGTGGCTTGGAGAGATGAATATAGATCAAAGGCATAAACCTGACATGGTCAGTTAAAACTTTGTCAGTTAATTTCCACTCTGATACATGCTGAACCTGATCTGGCTTCCAATATTTCCTGTATCTTTGTTTTGTTTGTTCAATAAGGGGGTATCTCCCAGGTGTTATGTCATTGGAGGGCACCCTCATTGAATTGTGCTATAGCTTTTTCTGTGTTTTGTTATATGAAACCCAGAATTGATGAACCAGAGGGAATAAAGGTGTCAGGGTGGGAGTGGGATATAACGTGTTTGGGGGCGGGGCGTATAAAAGGGAGATAATGTCAAGAAGTTAAGTTTCACAGAAAGTGGGAGAGAGAAGAGCTACGAAGTTAAGACATCAAACCTTAATGTAAAATCTGGGAAAAAAACAAAACAAAAGTGTCCCATAGCTTTTTCCTCTCCACCAGTCCTCGAGTTCTTGCCCATCTCCTAGACAGTTCAGGCAGCATCAGAGAGAAGTTCTGGTTGCTATGCTAATGATTCTCTATCTTTTAGTAAAGTTTCACACTGCTGCGAAGCCAAATTGACATCAGCCCAGTGGAAAAGCGAACAGGAACTAAGGTCAGCCTGGAGAAGGGTGATGAATAAAACGAGTGACTCTTCAGGCAAAAGTATCATGTGAGTTCAGATGCTATTCTGCGGGGTGTTGATGATCCTGGAAGAGGGTAGTGCAGGAGAAGGAACAAGAAAAATAATTATATATAATATAATTATATGTATAATATATATATAAATATATATAATATATATAATATAATTATATTATATATAATTATATATATAATATAATCATATTATATATATAATTTGATTGGGGGCTCTTACAACTCATCACAATCCATACATCAATTATATCAAGCACATTTGTACATAGGTTGCCATCATCATTTTCAAAACATTTTCTTTCTACTTGAGCCCTTGGTATCAGCTCTTCGTTTTTCCCTCCCTCCCTAACTGTCCCACCCTGTAATTCTTTTAGTTCGTGGCAAAGTAGCAAAAGCAATAGTAATAATACTACAAATCTGAAAACAGGCAGAAATAACCTGCAATATCTAAGTGGAGCACTCACTACTGAGTGGAGTTTTCTACTTCTTACAAGCACTCTCTTCTTGCAGCTGAAATAATTTTTGATTCAATAAATCATTACTAGTCAATTTACATATACACCACTGAATTACCAACAAAACTTTATGCATAATCACCTTTGTAAAAAGCATACATTATATAAACTCTTGATGGTAAAATGAATTGCTGAAAAGTGGAAAGTAAACAAGGAAGCTTTATGATTTATGTCATCCAGAAGCAGATGAAGCCTGGGGAAAATCAACACAAACATGCATTTGCATGCCTAGAAAAGACTGCAAGCCAGGAAAGTAAATGCCTCCGACCTAATTTAGAGAAATGCAGGCCCACGATCCTTATTCTCTATAGCGTTAGATACCTTTCAATTCCCTATATCGACAGTAATGTTCAGGCGAGAGAGTCTTGCCAATAAAAGATTCTGGATTAGGACGTCATTAGCTAGTAGCGCTGGGAGATTGGGCAGCTGTGAATCTGGGAGGCAGACACGAATCCGGATTTGATGTATATTCCCAGGTAGTAGTGAGGGAACTCCCCACAGCACTCAACATTTAAAAAATAATAATAATTAGCTAACAAAATTGTAATGTATTAGGGTACTTCAAACAAAGCCTCGTTTGGCCAATTTTACCCCAAGTTTAAAGTGATGGTAGCATCACCATAAATGTTCCCCCCGCCCCCACTGGGGAGCCAGGATGACAGGGAGGCTGGGGGCAGGTGGGAACTGTAGAACAGAAGGGGGAAGATGTCCTTTGTATTTTGAAGTTAATTATACATTTTTTGCACCCTGATACACTTATTTTTAATTGACATATCTAATAGCTGATTGTAACTGAACTGCCCTCTCTGTTGATACAGGTTATGCATTCTTTTCTCATAGAAACCAAGTGCCCATGCAATTGGAAACCTTAATGATTTATAAAGATTCCAACCTTGAGTGGTATATGAAAGCATTATTCAATTATTTTTCACACAATAGAGATGAAATAACTTCTAGGCTTCCATAGAGCTACTATCTTTCAGAAAGCAATGTTCAATTTAACTTTCATATATATTGAAAACTTCCCCAGTTGCTGTCGAGTGATGTATAAATTACGTTCATGCTCCTAGTTTTTACCTTCAAAGGGATTGTCTTTCATAAAAAATATCCGTTTTTTTCATAACCTCATGGGTAGGAATAAGGCTACAAAGGGGGTATATTGAAATTTTATATTATGTATTCTATATGTGTTACATTTATCAGAAATATATTTTAAAATATAAGGAAATATATTTCTATTATAAGTGATTTACGCTTTTCAATATATTCCTACTATAACTGGTATATGTTCTTTCTACTTTTCTATATTTTGTACATTTGTAATGATAATTGGTTTGCTGCTTGTATCCACTGAATTTATTTCAGAATCATATAATATATTTTAATATATTTCATAGGGTTCTCTGTGATGTAATCTTAATAAAAGTAATTGGCTAGACCTTTTCTTCAGACTGAGAATAGGTTATCAGTTGAGTAAAACTAATCAATGCAATCACACACACACATATATAGAATTTAGTAACCATTGATTTAATGTTCTTAATATATTGCCATTATTGTTATTGATGATACTATTGACAGGGCTAAAGGTTAAGCACTGGGCTGACAACCGAAAGGCTCGCCGTTCGAACACCCCACAGATTCTGCAGGAAGAATGCAGGACAGTCTGCTGGTGGAAAGATTTACCACTTGGGAAACTCTGGAACACTGCCACTCTGTTTCATATAAGTCTGGATAGACCTAACGACAAGTGGTTTTTTTCCCCTTTCATTTAATACATGCATGGGATTTCTAAAAGTAAGCCTTCTGAGGAAAACATTTGAAGGTAGGTTAGACAGTGAGCCATTTCCATGAGAGATCTTTTTTATCTAACAGAGTTTTAAGTTTCTATTTATAAAATAAAACACCTTATTAAAACCAAAACTGCTAATAACTGGTAATTCTCTATGGCTAAAAATGTACTTACAGTAAGTGATTCAGTTTCTTCATATTGCATACAAATTTCTTTGATTTGTATGTTTCCTCCTTATGTAGTAATTTAGAAACTGATAATTAGAAAGCTGATGGTACCCAGCTATCAAAAGATATAGCGTCTGGAGTCTCAAAAGCTTGAAGATAAACAAGCGCCCATCTAGCTCAGAAGCAACAAAGCCCACGTGGAAGAAGCACACCAGCCTGTGTGATCACGAGGTGCTGAAGAGATTGGTTATCAGGCATCAAGGAACAAAAAATCATATTGTTGTGTGCTCACCTCCATGATACGATTGCTGAAGACAAATGGGTGCATAAGCAAATGTGGTGAAGAAAGCTGATGGTGCCTGGCTATCAAAAGATATAGTGTCTGGGGTCTCAAAGGCTTGAAGATAAACAAGCGCCCATCTAGCTCAGAAGCAACAAAGCCTACATGGAAGAAGCACACCAGCCTGTTTGATCAGGAGGTGTCGAAGGGATCAGTTATCAGGCATCAAAGAACAAAAAATCATATCGTTGTGTGCTCACCTTCATGATACGATTGTTGAAGACAAATGGGTGCATAAGCAAATGTGGTGAAGAAAGCTGATGGTGCCCAGCTATCAAAAGATAAGAGCATTTGGGGTCTTAAAGGCTTGAAGGTAAACAAGCGGCCATCAAGCTCAGAAGCAACAAAGCCCACATGGAAGAAGCACACCTCTGCGATCACAAGGTACCAAAGAGATCAGGTATCCTCAGAACAAAAAATCAGATCATAGTGAATGAAGGGGGAGTGCAGTGCGGGCTGGAGACCCAAAGCCCATTTGTAGGCCACTGGACATTCCCTTACAGAAGGGGTCTCGGGGACAAAACGAGTCAGTCAGGGTTTGATGTAGCAATGATGAAAAATACAA